CATTGGCAGCAGTCATTTTGGGCATTCGGGGGGTACGTAGCGCCATGAGTGCTGGTATGTTAGTCGCAGGAGCACCCAGAAAAAGTCAAACTTCAGACGAGACCAGGAGATGTCCCTGTTTGAGGTTGAAGAGGTCAGCCGAGTTTGAAGTGTGTGTGTTTGGTAAGAGCACCGCTGCTGCTATTTTTTGTTGCCGTCCAGTATCTTCAGGCCGTGGCCGTGGGCGGGTGAGCTCGAGCTGTTGTTTGTCGCACATCGTCCGGTCCCCTGAGCCGAAGGTCAAGACGATCGTCCCTGGCTGTGGAACGGCTTCATGCCGAGACGAAATATGTGGAAAGGGACTGTCAGCCAAGCCTAAACTTGTGCGTTTTCGACCTCAAGGTTCGATGTTGGTAGTTGCTGCGGCAATGGTGGCGGGTAAGTATCCGTACAGCAAATTGGCTTCGGGAAGAAAGGTTGAATGCGACGCCGAATAGCCTTTTGCGGATGAATTGCTTGTGACCTACATGCTCGCGAGCGGCCGCAAGCAAACGGATGGTCGTCTTCTATTACCTGTATTTTCGGATGGATGACTGACCATGCGTCGATAGGAAGCCAAAGATACGATGGACGGGAGCAAAAGTCCGATGATGACGGTATCGTGTCCACAAGCTAGGGGAAGCGGGCAGTTGCCGCGTACCTTGGTGACGTTTAATAAGCTTCTCTTGCCCGGCACTTTGCGAGGTCTTGCTGCCAGGGCACTGGGCAGCCAACAAGGACGATATGCGCCTGTCGTATGGAAAGCAGCAAAGTTGTTTCCGCCTCTTCCCAGCTTCGCTCCCGTATCGGCCGGCGGAAAAGTGGGAAGTGGGAGAGAATCCTAGACTGTCAGAGGAAAGTGGGTGCTGTCCGTAAGGTACAAAGTACTTAGTAGAGTCTGAAGGCCGGCGGCAGGAGGCAGGAGAGCGCTAGGAAGCAGCGGAGAAATTTTGACGAGAGTGAAGGTGAAGCAACCCAACGCCAAAACAGCACAGCCACGCTTGGCATCATCAGTCACCTCCATTGGGCGCCGCCGACTTCACCCTTGCTGGGAGTTTGAAACCTGCCGCCAGGTAGTCCAGGTAGTCGCTCCTAGCTCGCCCGCTGTATGACGTTGGAGGAGATGCCGAACCTAGGGACCCGAAGCTTTCTGAGCTTGCTCTAGTATGCAGTGAAGTGACTAAGGTGCACTCCAGTGCTGCAGGAGGAGTGGGAAGTGATGCAGTGCACTCCATGACCGCATGCATGGGGGAGGCATCCAATGTCCCAGTGTGCCATTGTCATGGGCCCCATCATCATTCTCCAAGGAGGCCTCCCTGGGGATCCATACCATCTAAATGCCAAGCAAATCAGGTTCCAGGTCGAGTCCTGTTGGACAACCGTCCAGCAGCAGCAGCAGCAGCAGCAGCACCAAACTTGAGGAACCAGCAGACTTCCACACCACCACCAGCCCGACCAGACACATTCTTGCTGAATGTTGAATTGCTGCTTGTTTCGTCCTACCTTTACGACATCCCGTCCCACGTTTCCCCATAATAGCTTGACAAGAAAAGGGGGCTGTGTTCTTGCCCTTCCTGCATCGCGTCTGAGCTGCTGTCCTACCGTCCACCACCCCCAAAATTGATTGCTCTTGGCTATCACCTGAAGCTTGCTCGAGAAGAACATTGGAATTGCAACAGCAGCAGCGTCTGTATTCTGGAACACGGCTTCTGGACCCCGTCTTGTACCCTCTCTTCTTGCCTATTGAGATCTACGCAAAGGCTGCCAATTGGCAATTGCGCTCGCACACCATTCCTCGTTACGGTCAGGGACGTCTGGACTCCCCAGTGCGCACTACACCACGCTCGACTCGATCACGACCCGACCACCACACCACGACTCTCTGATACCAGATCCCTCAATACCTTGCGACTTGGCGGCCCAACGTGCCCTCATCTCTGCGCAACCCTCCTCCATTGGATCACGCACGACTTGACCGACCGTCCTCTACCCCACTCACCCGTCGGGCGGCACGCGCATACTGCGTACTGCACACAGGTACAGTAGACCGAGTACACACACACACATAGACACATCCGTCGAGCAGGGCCTCCCAGGACTCTCATCCGGTCCGTTCGTGGCAGCCAACTTGTCTATCTGCGATACCTGATAGGAACTCCCGTTGCTGCTACTACTACTGTACATACGACAGTCAGTCCGCAGCCATGGTCTGTAAGTACCCTGCTGCTATCCTTCACAGATAGATACATTGCCCCTACTGTTGCGTTGGATTTCTGTTTGATTTTTTTGCCCGGATGAGAAAGGGAAAAAAGTACCCTGCTGCGCCAGCTACACCGCAAGGTACTATCGCCTTGTCTCTGAGTTCTCACACTTCACTCACCTCTTTTTCCTCCCGTCACCTCCTCCCTCCTCCATCACCGCCGCCGGCCCCAGTAGCAAGCCCCGTTTCTTCTCTCCCACCCATGTACTGGTAGCTGCAGCTCCCTGGATTGCCTGCGCTACTCTTGCTACTTCAGTCTTGGCACTCCAGTCTTTCCAGTCTTGGATGCACTTCACTCACGCCGGCAACGCACTTGACATTCTCCTTCCCTCCAAGCCACAGCGCGCATCGTAACGTCCTGTTCCTGCGACTGGCTCTTTCTCTTCTTTCTGCCACACCCATTCCAGGCGCACATCTGGTCGCCTTGTCCCTCGGATCGTCACTCCTTGATTTCCCTTCTATTTTCGTTTCTCATCGGTTGCCTCACCACTTCACGCATACCATACACTATTATCGACGTTCGCGACATCGCAGATACAGCTTTTTTCCTGGTGGTCTAGGCTTCGGCTAATATGGTGGCGCGATGTCCGACGATTCAGCCAACAGACATTTTCGCGAACAGGTTCGCTCTTGGGGCAGCACGAACAAGCCCAACGCCCGCGATGGCGAGGTAGACGAGGAATCGCCTCTACTCAACGGCAACCACTCCTCCGGTCACCATGACCAAAACGGCAATGGAAACGGCGTCGCCGACCACGACCACCACCAAAACAAGACCTACGGCTTCTTCCTCGACCCAAGGCATACTCCAGGCACCGACAGCGACAATGTTGCCGTGAGATACGGCTCTTACGCCTGGCACATCACCAAGGTTACTCTCCTCAGCAGTAAGTCGCCCAGCCGCCAGCCGCATCGTGTTGCTGCGCCTGGTAGCTAACAAACCATCTTTCACAGACTATGTCAACTTCCTTCTGGTCATGGTGCCAATCGGCATCGTCGCAGGCCAGGGCAACTGGAGCTCTACCGCCGTCTTCACCATTAACTTCTTCGCTATTATCCCTCTTGCTGCCGTCTTGTCATTTGCGACCGAACAGATCTCCGTGAAGCTGGGCGAGGCACTCGGAGGATTGCTCAACGCTACTTTTGGAAATGCCGTCGAATTGATTGTCAGCATTGTCGCCTTGAAGGATGGTCAGATTGAGGTCGTTCAGTCGTCCATGCTGGGCTCGATCTTGTCCAACTTGCTTCTGGTTATGGGCATGTGCTTCTTCTTTGGCGGCATTGTCAACATGCGCGACAGAGTTACGGGCCAAGGCATGGAACAGAGCTTTGCTTCCGCAACGGCGCAGACCACTTGCTCGCTGATGACATTGTCTTCGGCTTCGCTGGTCATCCCTGCTACTGTAAGCTTCTCGCGGAATATGCATGTACCCCGCTCCTTGACTAACACCGCCTGCAGCTTTACTCCGCCTTGTCTAAGGCTGATTCGGACGACAAGGACCATAGCATTCTGCTGCTCTCTCGCGGAACTGCCATTATTCTCCTGACGTTGTACGTGATGTACCTCTGGTTCCAGCTCCGCACCCACCCCAACCTCTTCGATGCCGAGATCCAACACCACCACGACGAGGAGCCTGAGGAGGCCCTCATGGGTCCCATCGCCGCCGCCGCCGTTCTTGTCGTTACCACGGTCCTGGTCGCTATCTGCGCCGAATACCTCGTTGGCAGCATTGACGACCTTGTCGAGAGCGCGCACATCAGCAAAAACTTTATCGGACTTATTCTCATTCCGATTGTCGGTAACGCAGCAGAGCACGTAACGGCCGTGGTTGTGGCTATCCGAAACAAGATGGACTTGGCCATGGGCGTTGCCATCGGCTCCAGCATCCAGATCGCTCTTCTCGTCACCCCTTTCCTTGTCATCCTGGGCTGGGCTGTTCTCGACAAGCCCATGACTCTCCGCTTCGAGACTTTCGAGACTGTGGCCTTTGCCTTCTCCGTGCTTGTCGTTACGTACACCGTGCAGGATGGCAAGTCCAACTACCTTGAGGGAGCCATGTTGCTTGGCCTCTACATTATCATCGCCTTGGCTTTCTACGTCAGCCCCAGCGACGCCCTGGACAAGGCTTTTTCTACTGTCATGGGTTGAGCGATGAGTAAAATCATCTGTTTTTCTTGAAAGTGTCAGAAGGCTCCATACACAACCTGGAACCTGAATTTTTAGAGCTCCGCCAAGAACCAGTGACTCCCATATACCCAGCGGGAGTCTTGGTGGCGCGTAGCTAACTTGATCCCAGTATCAAAACATTCCGAGTCTGTCTTCCAAGACGAGGCTCCTGTTCGAAAGACTATCGTTAAAAAAGAGAGCTCGCTCTCGTGTGTGCATATTTCCTTGTGTGTCTATCTCATCTGTACAATATTCAACGGGCGCGGCTTCTAGGGGGGCGGTATCCAAGGTTCCTTCGAGAAATGGAGAAATTGGTGTTTGCAAAGGCACAAAGACAGAAAACACTGGTTCGCGAGGTCCGCAGTAGTAGTGTTCGATCGCAATAAAAGATGTCCATTTGGACACTGAATCAAAATTAACTCTTCTGGTCTCATTTCGCCTTAAGCACCTGGTATCTCGCCGGATACAATCATTAGATGTCTTTGTGTAATATGAAAGTAGACGACGTATTCAACATGAACCAACAATGCATTTCTCCCCACCCGACCATGCCTCTTACAACGTTGGCCTTGACATGGGCGCAATGATACCCTGCTTCTTGAGAATGCGCGGCTTCGTCGCCTCCTGGAACGATTCCTTGGTAACCCACTCGGGACCCAGAGGCATACGCAGCGAGCGCTCGTACTGCGCCTTGGACTCGTACATGTGAGGCAGCTGGGTCGCGAGATACTTGTCGTTCTGTGGCATAATATGTCAGCAAACTATATCGATACAATAAAGGGGCAGAGAAAGGAAAGTTACCTTCTTGACGCGCTTCTCGCTGATGATGACCTTGTCGAGCTTGGCGTCCTTGCGGTCCGCCTTCTTCACGCCCTCGACCTTTGTCACGAACCGGCCCTGCTGCCTCTTCTTCTCCCGCTGGCTGACGCCCTCGCCGACCCAGCCGCCCCATCCCGGCAGCGTGTTGTCTACGATCTTGTCGTCGTCCTCGGCCTCGACCTCGGCCTTTTCGCGCGCAAAATCGACCACCACATCGTCGCCCGCGAACGCCTTGTCCATCTGCGCAATGTCGCGGATCGCGAGGGGCAGGTGGACGTCTTCCCCCTCGTCGGAGTCCACGTCCTCATCCCCGTCGGAGTCGTCGGCTGCTTTTGAGCGGGTCTTGGGCTTCGGCGCGGCGGCCGTCATGGCTTGCGAGTTGTCCAGGTCCAGCACGCGTGGTTGGTGCGCCTTGGAGGAGGACTTCTTGCGCGGGCCCGAGGACCATGCGGAGCCCGTCGTCGAGGGCTCGGCGGTGATGGAGTAGCCCGCGTTGACGGCGCTGTTGTCCGGCACGTCGTCGTCGTCTACGTCCGCGCCGGCGGCCTTCTTGCTCTTCTTGCTCTTGGACAGCGCGGGCGCGGAGATGGCGGGCCTAGCCGCGCCGCCGAACTTCTTGCGTCCCACCTCCGTCACCTCCTCTTCGTCACTGGCCTCGCCGTTGGAGTCGATGTCCCGACGGATCTGCGCAATGAGCTCATCGTTGGCCTTCTTCTGCATCGCCTCGGCCTTTTGCATGAACTTCATCTTCATCAGGTTCGACGCCGGGCTGTCGTCCTCTTCGTTCTCGATGCGCTTGAGCTGCTTGAGCAACTTGCGCTTCTCGCGCACCACATCGTCCTCGTCATCACTACCCTCGTCGTCGTCCTCCTCTTCGGAGTCGTCCTCGCTCTCGGAGTGGCCCGCGCGGCCCTCCTTGCGCTGGCGCAGCTCCTCCTCGCGGCGGGCCATGTCATGCAGTCCTGCCCTGTAGTCGTCGTCCCAGACGGCGCGCTTGTTGGACGCGCCCAGCTTCGCCCACTTGGAGTCCCTGTGGCGGGCGCCCACGCGCTCCAGCGCCCTCCTGCGGTCCGCCGCCTCGCGCTCAGCCTCCGAGTCGATCTCGCCGTTCTCGGCCATGGCCTCGTGCAGCTTCATCTCCTCGCGCTCCTTCTCCTTGCGGTGCACGCGGTGGTACGCCTTGCTCTTGATCTTCTTGATGCGCGCCGCCTTCTTGGTCTCGCGCGAGGCGATCTCGCGCTCCCGCCGGCGCTGGTTGACGAGGTCCTTGAGCGCCTCCTTGGACAGGCCCTCCTCCTCCGCCTCCTTCCGCATCCTGTTCTCCTCCTGCTTGTTCATCGCCAGCCCGCTCTGCTGCATGATGGACATGATGGTCTGCTCGAGCTCGTTGCTCGAGTTCTTGGCCGTGAGCGCCTGCAGCTCGCGGTTGTCGAGCCCCTCGTCCGCGGCGTTCTGCGGCAGGGGGAAGACGAGGTGCTCCGCGCGGCGGTTGTGCTTGACCGTTTCCTGCCAGCGGCCCAGCGTCTCGTTGGCCGTCTCGTACGCCGCCGCCCGCTGCAGCTTGTCCTGCTGCCGGCGCGCGAGCGGCACCTCGAGCTTCTTCCCGGCGCCGGGGCGCGTCTCCTTCTCCTCCTTGGCCATGAGCTTCACCGACTTGCGCATCTGCGCGTCCTTGACGCCCGCCAGGCCGAGGTCCTTGAAGCTGATCTTCTGCTTCTGCTTCGTCGGCGCCGCGTCCTCGTCGTCGCCGCCGTAGCTGGTGATGAACTTTTGCAGGGCGCCGAGCTTCGACGGGTCGACTTCCTCCTCATCCTCTTCGTCGTCTGAGTCGGACGAGAGCGGGCTGTCGGCGTCGGAGTTGGACTCTGAGCCCTCGGAGCCAGAGCCCTTGTCTTCCATGGACTCGTCGGATTCGTATTCGTCCAGGGCTTGCGCGAGGTCGATTGCGTCCTCGCCCAGAGATTCGTCGTCATCCTCGTCTTCTTCAGAGTCGGCCTAGCTGTGGTGTTAGTGATAGCTTTCCCGGACGTCCATCTCAGTCGCCGCAAACCTCGTTCTTAGCAGTTTTGCTGCCTCTGAAGGAATATCCCTGAAAATCCTCCTCGTCGCTGTCGCCAAAGGCCTCGTCACTGTCGAGCTCTGAGTCCTCATCTTCGTTCACGCCGTAGTGCCATTCGTTGCCCTCGCTGTCGCTACCATACTCCGAATCATCGCCCTCGCCGCCGCCGCCGGAGGCCTTGGCCTTCTTCCGCCTCGGCTGCTCCTCGTCCTCGTCATCTTCGTCCTCGTCCTCGTCGTCCTCCTCGGCGCGCCTGTGCTTCTTTCCGGTGTCGGGCTGCACGTCAATCTCCCGGAACCTCGGCGTCTTCTTCTGCTTGGTGGGAAACTGCTCCGAGGCGATCGTGAAGGCGTCGAGGGCCTTGGCCTGGGCTTTGGATTTCGACTTGCGGAAGTTCTTCGGCTGCTGCTTCGACGACAGCAGGGGCCGTCCGTGGGATTGTCTTCCGGCCATTTTGTCTTTTGTCGAGAGAGGCTGCTGTGAGTGACTGCTCGTGTGCTCTGGTCCTCCCGTCTTTTTTCCCCATCCAAGTGAGCGCAGTGCACGACCATCGGAACTTTTTCTGCCGTGGTGGGCGAAAAGCGGTCAACAAGAAATTTACAGTGGGGCAGCTCGCACCGCTGGGCCGTGGCGTGGGCTGCACTGTGCTCTGTAAAACGGCCCAGGGTCGTTGCGTGCGCCGGGCGGTCTTCAAGGGTCTATGACAAAAAAGTGGTCCCACCTGCTGCCGAGGGGTGCCGGCGACGAACCACTAAGCCGTCCTCGATTTCCCATCCTCCAAATTTACTCGATCAGCGCATCACCAAACAGCTCCCACTGCGTCGCAGCACACACCACCCACCCCCACGGGCCCAACATGGCGTCTTTCGCACCGGGACTGCGGAGGCTCGCCCTCAAGGCGTCGCCTTCGCTGTTCGTATGCCGACAATGCCAGCGCCAGCAGCCGCAATGGCGCTCCTCGACATCCCGAATCCTCGACATCGTACGATCCCAGCAGCAGCAGCAGACCCGATGCTTCAACCAGACCAAGGCTCCCCTGAGCTTCAGCAGTAACGCCGTCGTCGACAAGACCTCTCCGATTATCCAGCAGGCCACCGAGGCGGCCAAGGACACCGTCAAGAAGAGCGCCTGGCCCGAGACGAACTCCAAGTCGGTGGCCTACTGGCTTCTTGGTTCCGCCGTCAGTGTCTTTGGTATCGTCGTCTGGGGTGGTCTCACGAGGTTGACTGAATCTGGGTATGCTTGAACCTCGGCACAGATCTTTTGAAGCTTGACTAACACCGTGACCAGCTTGAGCATCACCGAATGGCGTCCTGTAACTGGTTCCATGCCCCCTCGTAACGAAGCCGACTGGGAATCCGAATTCGAAAAGTACCGCGCCTCTCCCGAGTTCAAGCTCCTCAACCCGCATATGACCATGGACGAGTTCAAGAAGATTTACTTCATGGAATGGTCCCACCGCCTCTGGGGCCGCTTCATCGGAATGTCCTTCGTCCTGCCGACCCTCTACTTCATCGCCCGCCGCCGCGTCACACCCAAGATGGCCCTCAACCTCTGCGGAATCTCTTGCCTCATCGGCTTCCAGGGCTTCATCGGCTGGTGGATGGTCAAGTCCGGCCTCAAGGACGATCTCTTCGCTCCCGGCTCCCACCCCCGCGTCTCCCAGTATCGCCTGACCGCCCACCTCGCCACCGCCTTTGTCTGCTACTCCTGGATGCTCATGACGGCCCTGTCCATCTTCCGCACGCGCCGCCTGCTCGCCGACCCCGTCGCCGCCTCCAAGGCCCTCGCCGCGCTGCAGAACCCGGCCATCAAGACCTTCCGCCGCCTCTCCTTCGCCCTCGTCGCCCTTGTCTTCACGACCGCCATGTCCGGCGCCCTCGTCGCTGGCCTTGATGCCGGCCTTATCTACAACGAGTTTCCCTACATGGGCCTCGGCCTGACCCCTCCCGCCAAGGAGCTCTGGGACAAATTCTACTCCCGCAAGGAGGACGGCTCCGACCTCTGGTGGCGTAACATGCTCGAGAACCCCAGCACCGTTCAGCTTGACCACCGCATCCTCGCCATGACCACCCTGACCGCCATCCTCTCCCTCTTCGCCTACTCCCGCACCGGCCGCGTCGCCGCCGCCCTCCCCAAAGATGTCAAGAAGGGCGTCCTCGGCACCGTCCACCTGGTCCTGCTGCAGGCCACCCTCGGCATCAGCACCCTCATCTACATCGTCCCCACACACCTGGCCGCGACGCACCAGGCAGGCGCCCTGGCCCTGCTGACCGGCGCCCTGGTCTTGGGTCACCGTCTGCGCGTGCCCAAGTCCACCCTCGCCATGGTCCAGAAGCGGATCAAGGCCATGAACATCAAGCCTTGAAGGGGTGTGTTCTCTTTGAGGCTAGCGTTTTTTTCCTGAGTTAAAATAGCATTGATACCTGCATTATGGCAGCGATTTGGCATTATGGCATTATGGCACATGAACACACAAAGAAGTAGATATGTATAACAACTGTAGCAACACGCAATAGGGGCGGAACGCGTATCACGGCCACCCTTTGAGGTTTTGGTCATCACATCTCCTGTCTAAAACTTTTTTTTCATTTTAAATAGAAGCTCAACTCTAGACTATGGAATGTCTGCCGGATATCTTTTTGTTTTTGGTTGGCACCTTCGAGTGCCCTCACGACTAGCAACGATGACAACATCATTCGTCTCTTGACATGCCAATCCATTTATCTATTGTGTTGATCCTCTACTTGTGGGCTGCAACGCGTTCAGTCAGAAATAAATTAGCGACGAAAGGATGGGTGAAACGTACCAATACCCTCCTCAGGAACAGGCTTGACGCCAACGACCTCCGCGGCGGAGGCCTTCTTCTCCGCCTGCTTCTCCTCCTTCATGAAGGGGAAGGCAAGGACCTCACGAATACTGTAGTTGTCGGTCAAGAACATGACCATTCTGTCGATACCCATACCCTGCAGTGTGTTAGTTCGTGAACCTCTCGTATGGCTCAGGAAACAAAACTTACCCATCCTCCGGTGGGAGGCAGACCATACTCGAGAGACATGCAGAAGTTCTCGTCAATCAACTGCGCCTCGTCGTCGCCCTGGTCCTTCTGGTTGGCCTGCTCCTCGAAGCGGAGTCTCTGGTCAAAGGGGTCGTTCAACTCGGTGTAGGCGTTGGCAATCTCCTTCTTGCACACAAAGGCCTCGAAACGCTCGCAAAGACCGGGGATATCACGGTGGTACTTGGCAAGGGGCGACATGACCTGCGGGTGGCCAAAGATGAAGCAGGGGTTGACGCACTGCTCCTCAATGTACTCGCCGACAAGCTTGTCAATCATACGGGCGTTGGTCAGGGGTGGCGAGCACTCGAGCTTCATCTTCTTGAGGACCTTCTGGAGGAACTCGTTGGTCTCGGCGGTGTGGAGCTGGTCGGCTGGGGGGAACTTCTCGCCGGTGGCCTTCTCAAGCTCGGGAATCATCTCGAAGCGCTTCCAGGGGGCCTCCCAGTTGACCTCGTAGACTTCTCCGTGTTGGGTGTGGAACTTGGTCTTGTAGCCGCCGGTGAGGTGCTTGACAAGGCCGGAGACGAGCTCCTCGGTTGTCTTCATGAGGTCGTAGACATCGGCGAAAGCCTGGTAGAACTCGCAGGTGGTGAATTCGGGGTTGTGGGTGAGGTCGATGCCCTCGTTGCGGAACTGGCGGCCAAGCTCGTAGACGCGGTGGAGACCGCCAACGACGAGTTCCTTGAGGTAAAGCTCGGGGGCGATTCTCATGAACATTTGCATGTCCAGGTCGTTGTGGTGGGTGATGAAGGGCTTGGCGGTGGCACCACCAGCAATGGGACCCATCATGGGGGTCTCGACTTCGACGAAATCCTGCGAGGTGTAAGTTTCAAGGGTTCGGCGTGAAGCTTGTGAATGAGTCCCAACTAACCCTGTCGTCAAAGTACCTTCTGATGTAGGTGACGATCTTGGATCTGGCGATGAGGATCTGACGGCTCTTCTCGTTCATGATCAGGTCGAGGTAACGCTTGCGGTGGCGCTCCTCGTGGTCCTTGAAACCGTAGTACTCGTCGGGCAGGGTGTGCAAGCAGGGGGTCAGGAGAATGAACTCCGTCGCGAAGATGGAAAGCTCACCCTCCTCGCCCTTCTCGATCTTGGACTTGGGTGCTGTCCTGTTGGATGTCCGTTAGCATTGAGATTTCAGGTTACCAAGTCACGCGACACGAACCTTCCGGGGTAACCAATAATACCGACAATGTCACCTGGACTATGTCAACCTTTGTCTTCTCCTAGTCTCTGATTGTGGTATTTACCTCGGCGGAGGTGGAGGTGCTGGTCCTCGAACGACGGGGTGCCCTCGGCGACCTCTTGCGCCTGAGCCATGACCTGGACCTTGACGCCCTCGGCGCGGACATCGTAGAAGAAGAGCTTATTGCCGGAGGCACGCTTGTTGTAGATACGGGCACCAACACGGATGACCTTGGACTTGTCGCTCTCGCCGGACTTGAGGTGTCCGAAGTCGCTGGTGAACTTGCGCAGATCGTAGTCGGCTATATTCGTGTCAGTTTCGTTCTCCCGTGGTCCATAATGCTTCGGGGGACTTACTGTGGAACTTGTGGGGGTAGGGGTTGGGAGACTTGGTCTCGCGCAGCCTGTTCCAGTCCGGTCAGCATGTATCTCCATCCAATTGACCCAGATACCAGACGTACTTGTTGATGGTGCGAGATCGGTTCTCAAAGTACTGGCTGGGGTCGAGGTTCTTCTCGTCGGCCTCAGCGTTGCCCTTCTTAGCAGCAGCAGGCTTGGGAGGGGCGGCGGCGGCCTTGGCAGCCTTCTGAGCCTCCCTTTCACGGGCCTTCTGGCGCTTCTTAAGCTCGGTCTTGGAGATCATCTCGCCGGTGACCTCGTCAAGCAGAAGCTTGGCGACCTGCTCGGTGGGGGGTTCGGGGGCGCTGGAGTCGGCCATGGTTGCGGATTGCGGGGTATCTGCCTGGAAGAGTTTCCCTTGTCAGTTTATGAAATCCGGGGTAGAAAACGGTGTTTATAAATGGTTGGTGATCTCTTTCGAGGCTGATTGCGAGTCACCTCGGGGTCGGCTTTGACTCACCAAAAATCCTGCGTCTCGCGATGGAGGATGTACCAGTCGAAATTATTTAAAGCCGGGACGAGGGGCACCAGACCAGTGTATTGGCTGCAGCGGGGTAGTGGCGCACACTGAGTCAAAAAAGCAATTGCCCTGACTCACCGCCCTGAATGGAGGGGCAGACTTCCAAAATCGCTACGTGGGGGAGGGGTTATGCTACTGTGATCTTCGTAGTCGCACACTCACACTGTATTTTTGTACGATTAGCCCCTGCGCCTCCACGCAACCCAACGTCGTCCAAGCCAACCTAGATCTTCCAAAGGTTTAATTCTACACATCATCCAGCGGATTCGCAAGCAGCAACTGCGTATATGAATTGCAGACCCCCAATTTCTCCTGTGCTAGGATGACTACTTTCCCTCTTGCTATGTTGTTCCTCTCGCAGGTAGTTGACATTATTGTCGCACTGTTGTCGCCTGTCGTTGTTAGTTATCGTCTTCGTCGGTTGTCGTCCCTGGTTGTCGTCCCTGGTTGTCGTCCCTGGTTGTCGTCCCTGGTTGTCGTCCCTGGGTGTCGTCCCTGATTGTCGTCCCTGGTTGTCGTCCCTGGTTGTCGTCCCTGGTTGTCGTCCCTGGTTGTCGTCCCTGGTTGTCGTCCCTGGTTGTCGTCCCTCGTCAAAGTCGCCAAGTACACAGGAAAATTAGGCGGTCTCATGAATTAATCACAATTTTAGGCTTATATTAGAAGATGATAGCTGTAGTTGAGGCTATAGGCGGCTTAATAAATCTGCGGACGGCCTACGACGTCCTGTGAGATGAGCGACTCTTATGGGGGTGCCATGCCAAGGTTCTCAGTCTTACCAACATCCGAACGAGCCTCTATCGCGGATGTTATGATGCTTTCCCCATGTTGGACACAGGCAGTGTTTTGCCAACAGAATTGAAGCAAAGGTTCAGAAAGCAAAATTTCAGGGCAATCTTGGAGAATCGAACCTGCCAGCCCAAATAGGCGATGCTTGGCTTCCTCTTTCCAAAGTGCATCTATGAAAGAAGCTCCTGAAGCATACGGAAGCCAATGCCTTCCCAAACAACCTGCACTAGGGATCTAGGAGGGCGCTACCTCGTCTCGGGCATCACATGCCAATAACCTCTTTCCCCCTGAAAGATGTCGTCGTTGATTTTCTTCAACTTCACACTCCACACACTTGCCATTCGCGAATTCCAATATCATAAGAAACACTAATCAAAGCACGAATAAAGCACGAATCAGCTTCGATGGCTGACCCGAATAAGAAGACAACGGCAAGTAAGAGGACAAGGGCAAGGGCAAGAAGAAGAGAAGCCAAGAGGGCCAGAGAAGAGCAGGCGAGGGAACAGCAGGCCAGAGAGGAAGAGGCGAGGGAACAGCAGATCAGAGACCAAGAGGCCAGAGAACAGGGCACAAAAGCTAGAAAGGAGTTTTAGGAGCCTCTGTATGTCCCCATCTGTTGTCATTGCTGGGGGAAAAACTGACCGATGTTCCAAGGCACGCGCTTCAGAATGACCTACGCATCAAGTTCCAAGCCGTCAGTAATTTGATGAGAGACCTATACCAGCAGGCACCAAACCCGTACGACATCAATGATACCAAGCGCATGAAAGAGTCAGCCAGGCCAAGATGGGTCAGGACACGAGTGCAGCTCTATAACGCCATCGGCAAACTCAAGGCTGCCGAGGAACCCCTTCTGGACTGCGCAATGGGGTACCGGGGTCGGATGACTGAGGATCAGTGGATCAAAGTGTTGGAACAAGTAACGGGACAATTAAATGCGATCAAAGCTGCTGGCTGCCACAAGCTGTACGCTGACCTCCTTGGACCGGGACTGGCAAGCCGGTGAGTTACGAAGCAGACTGTTGGGCAAAGCGGAAGACAAACTGAGCGATTATTAATTGATACGGCTGTTATTCACTCTGGGACCACTCTTTCATAGGTGGAAAGCGATGCTATTGACTGCAGACAAACCAGATAGTACTACGAATCATACTTCTTCATAATGTCCCTCAACCTATCCAATGGCAGTGCTTCGATCGTCCGGCCGCAGAAACCGGTCATGGTCTCGGCAGAGCACAACACGTTGTAGATACTCTCCTCCGTCGCATCGGCCGCAGCCTCGAATAGTCCGTTGATGCTGGTATCGTCAATGGACTCAATCTTCAACGCCTTCGCCTTCCACGGATCGACCTCGCGTTTCTCTATGCTGATGGTTTGCACAGGAATGTGGTTGCCCGTGGAAAAGGCGAGGAAAATGTCGCCGGACGGGTTGTGGCCGTACCCGCCGACCCTCGACAGCCCGACCGTCGCCCTCTTGGCGAGCCTCTGGCACTGGATGGGCGTCAGGGGCGCGTCGGTGGCGATGATGACAATGATGGAGCCGTCCTTCTTGTCCTTGTGCTTGGCGACCTCGACGAAGGAGTCGGCCTTCTCCTTCTCGAGGATGCGGCCGACGGGGAACCCGCCGATGCGCAGGTGCGCCGCCTTGCCGTAGTTGGCCTGCACAAGCGCCGCGACGGTGTAATTCTTCTTGTTGCCCTCGCCGTCGAATCCTTCAACAACACGACTGCTCGAGCCCGTGCCGCCCTTGAAGTAATGGCAAATCATGCCCGTGCCGCCACCAGTGTTGCCCTCCCGTACAGGAGCATCCGTGGCCGCCTCAATGCCGTTGACAACGTCCGAAGGCTTGACGGCCAGCTTCGAGATGTCGTTCAGATGCCCGTCGAACGTCTCTCCGACAACGGGCAGCAGGAACCACTCCACCTCGCCCTTCTCGTTGGAGTAGTTCTTGATGGAATACTCGTAGATGCCGCGGTAGCAGTCGCCGACGGAGAAGGAGTTCGTCAGGACGATGGGGCTGGCGAGCAGGCCCGTCTCCTCGATCCAATGAGACCCGGTCAGCTCGCCGGAGCCGTTGAAGCGGAAGACGCCGGCGTAGCACGCGTCCTTGAACCAGTCCTTGTGCGGCAGGATGACGGTTACGCCGGTGTTGACGCCCTCGTCGGTGTGAATTTCTTGTGTGGAGGCGAGGATGCCGGGGATGTCGGTGATGGAGTTCTTGGGGCCGGCCGGCCAGGTTCCGAGGTGGAGATTCGGGAGGATGTCGCGGATGCGGCCGCGGGGGGTTGATTGAGTGGACATGGTGATGTTTTTACAAGTCAGACTGGGTATAATTGAGCGTGCTAAGCTGCTCTTTTGACCTGATAGCTTATTTTCTTACAATTCCGTTCAATGGCCTTCATTTTATACTATTCGATTTCCAAAATGACATAGTCCTCATCGCAAAGTCGTCGTACGAAGGATCGCGAGAACCTCCACTTTGGCGGATGAATCATCATGAACCATTGTAGACGATTGGTCAATTGGTCGATTGGAGCGCTCTGACTTGCTTCATCAGGCAGGTCGTGCAAGGAAGTGCTGCCTACCGGGGAATACGTACTCCGCTTGCGTGGATGTAAGTGGATTTCTCATCGTCTTACTGCTGCAACACGCGTTGTTATCCAGCGTGTGCGTGAATGTTTGGCTCAGGCTGCGAGAATTAAGATACCGCTACCCTCAGGCAGATGCATTCGAGATGCATGACGGAGACCAAGTCTCAAAGTAGGGGCACTTTGGAGAGAAGTCGATGCATGTAAGTGTACCTCGGCAAACGGGCCCCACATCTAGATCGCTCGGCCGGCAAGTGGAGCCTCGATGCGGGGGAAGACGCCTCCAAACACTTCCCCCCGGCGCAGTCGACCATGGGCACTCCAACATGGCCTAGCCTGAGCGGGCAGCTCTGTGCGGAGGAGCCGCGGGACCTGAATCCCGACATCGCTCCCTTTCCACCTTGAGTTTACCGAGAGCTTCACATCATCTCTCATCTCACATCTGCAGTTCGTGGTTCTCATATCTCGTCCCCAGCCTCTATCTGACCCAATCTTGTAAGCCATCTGTCTGCATCATAGTGCTACGCCTTGTATATCAGCATCTCATACACACAAACCGCAATGACGCCTTCACTCCGCGTCATCCCCAACGTAAGTCCCCTCCCAACCCCCCTCATGATCTTTCATCTCACAACCTCCTCCAGGCCGCGTCCCGCGCTGTCTCTCTGCTGAGAACGATCCAAGCCCACCCGCCATCATGTCCCTGCCACACAAACCCAGGCCACCACCACAACCACTCCCCCCTTAACTTCACCCCGCGACCCCTGCGCACCTCCTCGCGCGGCTTCGCAACCCCGGTCGACCACTCCCAGAAGGAGTACGCCTTCGAGATGGCCGCCTCCTCCATCCGCTTCGGCCCGGGCTCGACGCAGGAGGTCGGCATGGACTTCGCCAACATGGGCGCCAAGCGCGTAGCCGTCGTCACGGACCCCACCGTCGACGGCCTCTTCGCCATGCAGCAGGTCCGCGAGGCCCTCGACCGCGAGGGCATCAACTACAAGGTCTACAACCAGACCCGCGTCGAGCCCAAGGACAGCTCCGTCCGCGAGGCCATCGACTGGGCCCGCCCCTTCGCCCCGGACGCCTTCCTCGCCGTCGGCGGCGGCTCCGTCATCGACACCGCCAAGCTCATGAACCTCTACTCGTGCTATCCCGACGCCCCCTTCCTCGACTTCGTCAACGCGCCCCTCGGCAACGGCCGCCCCGTCGACAAGCCCCTGAAGCCCCTCATTGCCGTCCCCACCACTGCCGGCACCGGCTCCGAGACCACCGGCACCGCCATCTTCGACCTCGTTTCCAAGCGCGCCAAGACCGGCGTCGCCCACAGGAACCTCAAGCCCACCCTCGGCATCTGCGACCCCCTCAACACCCGCACCATGCCCTCCGCCGTAAAGGCCGCTTCCGGCCTCGACGTGCTCTGCCACTCCCTCGAATCCTGGACCGCCATCCCGTTCAACGAGCGCGTCCCCCGCCCCAAGAACCCCATCCTCCGCCCCGCGTACCAGGGCGCCAACCCTATCAGCGACGTCTTCTCCTTCCACGCCCTGCGCGCGACGGTCAAGTATCTCCCTCGCGCCGTCCGCGACCCGGACGACTTTGAGGCCCAGAGCGAGATGCTCCTCGCTGCGACGCTCGCCGGTGTTGGCTTCGGAAACGCCGGAGTTCACCTCTGCCACGGTATGATCAGTACCCCTTGAACATGCCAAAGAGTCCCGGAAACGCTGACGTTTCCCCACAGGCATGTCCTACCCCATCTCCGGCCAGAACCCAGGCTACCAGCACTCCGGCTACAAGGTGAACTACCCCATCATCCCGCACGGCGTGTCCGTCGCCGTCACCGCCCCGGCCGTCTTCCGCTTCACCGGCGCCTCCAACCCGGAGCGCCACCTCGCGGCCGCTGAGGCCTTCGGCGTCGACGTCTCCCGCGTGCGCAAGGAGGACGCCGGCGCCGTCCTGGCCGACGCGCTGACAAAGTTCCTCGCCGACCTCGGCGACCAGCCCGCGGGCATCAAGGAGCTCGGCTTCGGCACGGAGCACCTGGACGATCTTGTCGAGGGCACCATCCCGCAGGCCAGGGTGCTGATGCTCGCCCCCGGGTTGGAGACGGAGCTGCAGAAGGAGAGGGAGCAGTTGAGGGGCTTGTTTGAGGCTTCTTTGACGCATTGATGCGGTGGGTTAGACATGATGGGCGTAAATGTGCATTGGGAGATTGGAAAGCACGCGCAAGCTAGCATGGCAGTGCCAGTTGGAAAAGAAATATCACGACGATGGTGCGGTGAGTCTAATTGTTTAGAGAATTGACGAGTGCTGAAGTATGACAACCGGCTATGTAATCAAAGAAACTTTTCGCGAGGCCCACGGCCGTAGATGACTATATATATACACGCAAATCCAGCAGATATATCCGAGCGCGACAACCTAGTAGACCTCGAGAATGTAGCGGTCCTCCTCCTTGAGCTTCTCAATCTCGTTGCGGGCGTTGACCTTCTTGCCGCTCTGCTTGGCCTCCGTGTTGATGGCCTCCATGAGCACGTCAGTGACGTCGGGAACGGGCCAGGTGGGACCGCAGAGGTAGAAGCTGCCCTCGTCCTTGATGTAGCTCTGCACCAGGTCGCGCATGGACTCGCGCATGCGGTCCTGGATGTAGATCTTCTGGGGCTGGTCGCGGGAGAAGGCGGCGCCGAGGTGCGTGATGACGCCGGCGTCGAGGTAGGCCTCCCACTCCTCTCCGTAGAGGTACTCCTCGCGCTGGTGGCGGGAGCCGAGGTAGAGCAGGATGGAGCCGATCTCCTCGCCGCGGGCCTTCTGGAGGGCGCGGTACTGGATGAAGGCGCGGAAGGGGGCGAGACCGGTACCGAGACCGGCCATGATGAGGGGCGCCTTGGAGGAGGCGGGCAGCTTCATAACGGAGGGCTTAACGGAGACGGTGACCTTGGCGCCGACGGGGAGGTCCTTGAGGTAGCGCGTGGCGTGGCCGTAGCGGGTGCGGCCTCTGGGGTCGACCCAGTCGACGACGACGATCATGAGCGCGACGGAGTTGGGTGTGACGGCCTGGGCGGAGGCGATGGAGTACTCGCGGCGCTTCAGGGGGGAGATGATGCGGACGAGGTCGTGGAAGGACGGGCGGGCCGAGGGGAACTCCTGAAGGATGTCGACGTACGTGAGGGTGTCGACCTCGGAACGCTTCTTAAAGTCCTCGGCGCCAGTCTGGCCACCGAGACCGTTGAGGATCTCCTTCTCCTTCTCGTCCGTCGCGAACTCGGCGAGGGCCTCGTAGAAGCGCTTGGGCGGCTTTCCGAGAACGTCGATGTTCTGCTTGAGGGACTGGTAGACGGTGCGGGTCTCGAAGGCGTTGGGATCCTCGCGGGCGGCAACCTGGACGAGGGCGTTGGGGTCGAGGCCGTACCACTCGATGAACTCGCGGACCTCGTTGTCATCGTTCTCGGCATGAATGCCAAGGGCCTCGCCGATGTTGTAGGTGACACCGGAGTCGCCGAGGTCGAACTCGATGTGGAAGATGTTGCGGTCGTACGTGGCGGGGGTAAGACGACGGTTCTCCTTGACGGTGACGGTAGACGTCTTGACGGGCAGCTCGGGGCGCAGGGTAGCCTGGGTGCCGTACGCCTCCTTAAAAGCGAGACCCTTGGCAGCAGCCTGCCAGTCGACAAGCTTGGACTCGACCTCGGGCTCCTCCTTGTCGAAGGCGACGAAGCTGTTAGGCTTGATGGTCGAGGGCAGAGCGCTGACGACGACGTCCTCGGGAAGCTCGGCCCAGGCAGCCTGGGACTCGACCTTGCGCAGGCACTGGCCGAGAGCGTCGACGCACTCAGCGAGGGTGTTGGGGAAGCCCTCAATGAGGGCGATCTTGGCAACCTCCTCGGCAGAGATGTCGGGGCGGGCGATCTGGAGGAACGCAAGTTCAAAGAGGAACTTGACGACCTGGGGCTCCTTCTCGAACGCAGGAGAGGCGGCAACGTCGAGAACGTAGAGTTCAATGCCCTTGTCCTGGATCTGCTTGCGCATGACAGGGGAGAGACGCTTCTCGACGTCCTCCTCCTTGAAGTTGGGGAGCTTCAGAAGAAGCTTGCCGTTGGCGTTGACGCTCTTGAGTACGTCAAGATCCTTGAGCAGCTTCTCGTCACCGACAGCAACGACGTCGGCCTCCTCGATAGCGTACGGAGCCTCGACAGCCTTCTTGGAGCTGCGGATGTCGGTGCGGACGATACCACCCTGGGTAAGGTTGTCGAACGACTCGTGAACGTACACGTTGCTAGTGGACTCGCGGGACAGCAGGTTGCTGACAACGACGGGCGAGTCGGCGGCGGCAGAGTCGTCGACATCCCAGAAGGTGTACTGGTGGGCCTGGACCAGAGAGGGGAAAGGCTTGGACTCGGCCTGGGCGTTCTGGAGCTTGCCAAAGATGTCGGCAACAGTCTGGGGGGTCAAGGCCTCCGAGGCGGAGTACTTGACGTCCCGGACGGCAGGGTCCTGGCGCCACTTGCCGGCGAAGGAGATGGCAGTCAGGACATCGGTGTACAGAGCAGACTGCAGAGAGGCGTCGTTGACGGAGATGTCGTCCTTGACCTGACCCAAGACGGAGACGGTGCGGACAGACTCGGGAATGCGAGCCAGGAAAGCCTCCTCGACGAAGGGGCGGTAGACGCGGACATTGATGGCAGCAACCTTGGCACCGTCAGCAGCGAGACGGGTGACGACCTGCTTCGCGAGCTGGGCCTCGGCACTGCCGAAGACAACGAGGACGTTCTCGGCTTCGTCATGTCCGTAGTACTCAAAGAGCTCGTAGTTGGTGCCGAGCTCGTTGTTGAAGAGCTTCAGGAGCTCAACAACCTTGCCGGCGTCGTCGAGCCTCTTGTTCAGAGACTGGACCTCGCTGGAGATCTTCTGGTAGGTCTCGGCAACGCCCTTCTTGCCCATAGGGTCGGAGGCCTTGAGAGTCTTCTTGGCGAGCTTGACACCGTCCTCAACGCCCAAGCTGGGGGTGAGAGCGGTCATGAGGGTGGCAAGCAGAGCGGTGTGCTGGCTCTCGTGGTCCTCGGTGGGGTCGAGGTGCTTGTTGAACACATCCAGGAGGTCGGCAACCTTGGAAGAGATGGCGGCTCTCTCTGTGACACCAGTGGACTCGGATGTGATGTTCTTGTAGAGGTCGGCAATGCCGCTCTCGCTCAGCGCGTCGACGATACGGGAAGTCTCGCGGGCGAGTCTTACACCGTCGTAGATGTGAAGAGTGGGCATGAGAGCAGCCATGAGGGTCGCGAAGAGAGCCATGTGCTGGGTCTCGTAGGCGCTGGAGCTGGCAACCAGACCGAGGCCAAGCTCCTCGGCGGTGCGCAGCGCAGTGTCGTAGTCAGAGACCAGGCCGTTTGCGGCATCGTAGTCGAGAGCCGCAACGTGGGCAACGAAGGGGGAAGCAACACCGTAGAGGAGGCTCAGCTGGTCAAGAGCAGCGCGCAAGTTCCTCAAGCTCAGCGTAGGCGCAAGCAGAGTCTGGGGCAGGTGTCTCTTGGCCAGGTCGAAGTCGGGGCTGAAGATGTAGCCCAGAGCGAGTGCGCCGGCGCCGGTCCTGGTCTGCAGCTGGACGAGGTCGGTGGCCTCGCCGTGGATGTTCTTCTCCTTGGCCTCGGCCCAGGCCTTGGCGGCAACATCGAGATCGAAAGTCGGTGCGGAGTAGGAGAAGATCTTGTCGGACAGGAGGTAGGCGACCTGCTGAACGAGCAGCTGGGCAGTCACGTAGGTCGGTCCGGAGATGGAGGCGAGGGCCACGGGCTGGCCAAAGGGAAGGGTGGAAGAGACCTTCTTGACGGGAGCAACGGGGGCGGGAGACTTGGCATCGAGAACGGCGGCAGAGCCGCTGCTCTCCTGCTGCTTGAACTGCATCTTTGGAGGCTGTCTCGAGAGAAACTTGGGAATAAATACGGCAAAAAGGATGCGATTAACAATGGTCAAGTATAGACGAAAGACCAGAAGAAGAAGCCGGACCACGCGCAAGAGAATGGTCGCGAACAAGCAATTGATTCACCAAGGGCAAGCAAACTCACTTGCGTCAACCCGAACGAGAGCTTCTTCGTTCTAGGAGGACCTTGGGATCGTGGGAGGGAAAGGGATTGGTAAGTAAAAGACGAAGGTATCTCAGGACTGAAGACTCCGAGCAGGGTCCGAAGGAATATAAAAAAAAAATAAGCAAAGCCAAAGAGAGTGACAAGGGGGACTTGTCCTTAGCCGGGCTCACCTTACCAGTCCTTTGCCGCAGATTACCTAGCAATGGAAGCCGCTGCTGCTCCTCCCGGGCCCCAGCCATGCTCATGCGCCAGTTGCGGTTCGTCAACCTCTCTGTTCTGGCTCATGTTGGCGTGCGAAACTCGGCGTTTGGAAATTGTTGAAGCTCGCAGAATTGACTAGGGGACAATTGCGCCATCGCGCGCCAATCAACGCCCCAGAGACATGTGCGGCTGCCCCACATTGCACCATTTTGGATCCACTAAAGGTCCCTTGGCCGGACCTCTGGCTTACCAAATCCGCGTCGCGCCTGCAATTGCGTGCTCGACTTGACTCCTCCTCGTCCCGGAATTGCAAGCCTCAATGCGGTCTTTGCCCCAGATTGTGCTTCCTCGGTGGCAATCCCGTCCGATCGCAAAACTGCCGGACCCTTTTGTCCCCAGGCTGTCGGTTCCCCGGCCGGTTCTCGGTGCGGTATCCGCTCGGCCGCGGCATCAGTACCCGCCCCGATGATTTCACCACTTCCACCCAACACCTCGGCCATGGTTGCTGCAGATGTGACTCGGATGACCCAAGTAACATCAATCTAGGTATTAAATTACTATCATCAATGATTATACGGGACTTGAGGATGCCTTGAACCCCTGATGATAGTTCAGGTGGCAGAAGGTGTAAGTGATTAGAAGAGCTGTTCAAGTGGACGACGAGAGACGATGACAGACGATGGGAGACGATGACGGATTCCTTTGACTCATTCTATTAGGCTGCTGCGCTCTATTCTTTTCTTGTACATTGGGTTGCCCCCGCGCTATTCAGTACATTTTACAGTAATACATGCCCAAGGGCAACAATGATGGTGCCCAATAATAACCTTACAGCCCTCGCGGGCGGAAACCAAAACCAGGAACCCTTGTCCGCAGCGCCAGAGAGCTGAGAACCACGCTGATGCTGCTCAAAGCCATCGCCAGACTGGCCCACACGGGGTCCAGTCGAATATGCTGTCCTCCGGATGTTGTGATAGGGTATAAACAACCGGCGGCAATAGGGATAGCGAGAAGATTATAAATGAGGGCCCATCCAAAGTTCACCTTAATACGCCCAAACACCTTACGACTCAGGTCCAAGAGGGTCACTATCGCTCGTAAATCACTCGTCACAAGGACGAAGTCGGCGCTTGAGATGGCCACATCGCTGCCACTGCCAATGGCAATGCCAACGTCGGCCTTGGTCAACGCTGGCGAGTCGTTGATGCCATCTCCAACCATGGCAACCATGGCGCGCTTTGTCGAATGCTCTCTCGACCGGCCGACCCGCGCTTTGAGTACGTTCTGCAAATAGGTGATCTTGTCTGCCTTCTCCCAAGGAAGGACCTCGGCCAGGACGTTGTCAGGGTTGATTCCAACGCGTGATGCTACCGCCTTGGCAGTGACGACATTGTCACCCGAGAGCATCCAAACACGCGTCCCACGATCCTTGAGCGCGCGAATGATGGGGAGTGCCTCAGGACGAATAGGGTCTGAGATGGACAAAGCCAGCACAAAAGTCCAAGGCGCATCCGAGTCGGCCTTCGCCTTGATGGCTGCCAAAGCAACGGACTTGGCCTCGGTCTTCCAAATCTGGAGCTGGGTAGTCACCTGCTCTACGAGCTTCACGTTGAAGTCGCGCATGAGAGCCTCATTTCCGACAATCATTTCGAAAGATTCGCTCTGCTTATCACCTCGGTTTGTTGCTCTGATGCCTTTGCCGGGCAATTCTTGAACGTTTTCCACCTCTGCCCAGACTTCGGTCTGAGCCGTGCAGTAAGAAACGATCGCCTTGGCAACTGGATGGCTGCTGTTCTCTTCGATTGCCCGTAGTGTGGCCAATACCAAGCTGCTTTCAATGTTGGTTTCCGCCAAGTCGAGGAACAGTTTCGTATCGGTGACCTTGGGCTCGCCGCCAACAGTTAGAGTACCGGTCTTGTCGAAGACGACGACGTCGACATTGCTCGCCTTTTCGAACGCCTCACCACCTCCCTTGGCAAGAATGCCGTGCTTCGCAGCGAGGCCGCCGCCCACGAAGATGGCTGTCGGAGCTGCTAAAGCGAGACCACAGGGGCAGGCCACGACGAAGACGGAGATGGCGAATTGCAACGCGAAGGCAACCCAGCCACTCCCAGAATCAAGGTAACGGTCGGGAATGACGCCAGCATAGCCAAGTATCATCCAGGTAAGCCAAGTCAGGACTGCAATAAGGGTGATGATCGGGACAAAGTACGCCGTCAGCATGTCGGCGATGCGCTCCATCGGCGCCCTCTTTGTTTGACCTTCGCGAACGATGGAAACGATTCGATCGAGCATGGACGCGCCTGCAGCACCAGTAATGCGCACTTGAATGGCCGAGTCCTTGTTGACAGTTCCAGCGTGAACCTCATCGCCGGGGACCTTCTTAATAAGACGAGACTCGCCAGTCAGGCTAGACTCATCGAAACTGCTCTCGCCTTGCAAAACAATACCGTCAGCGGCAGGTGAGGCGCCGTGAGGCACGCGAATAATGTCGCCATACTCGAGCATGTCGACACCGACGGTCGCATCTGTTGTTTTCCCGATGGAATCTTTCGTGACCAGAATCGCTGTTGTAGGCCTGAGCTTTCCAAGAAGCTCGACCGCATCACCAGTCTTTGACTTGCTGTACGACTCGATCAGGCGACCAAGAAGCAAGAACATGGTCAAAAAGACCACGGAATCAAAGTAGAACTGAGTGTCGTCAATCTCCGCCGGCTTATTGATTGCAGCAGATATCATCTGACAGATGGACGAGACATAGGCAATGGTGGTTCCGAGAGACATCAACATGTTCATGCTGCCAAACTTGTAGAACCGCCGAAGGATGGGGGTCTTGCTACCCGGACGCCACAAATTGCTGATCTCCTTGATGGCTCTGGTATGGAATACGTCGGCCGCAAAGAAGTAGACCGGCGTCGAGAGAATGAACAAGGCGATTTGTGCTCGGTTGATGCCTGAAACCCACGGCTTCATCAACCAGTGCTTCCCGTCATCCGTGTCAGGAATAAGACTCATGTATACGATGCCGATGACGAAAGTAGGGATAGCGACGACGAGGGTCAGGTAGATTCTCCTCAGAAGCTGCTGCTGGTGCCTCTGCGTGATCAGTTTAGAGCGCTCTTCGAGACTGGGAGGATGGTAAATCGAAGCTCTAAACGCCGGATCCGCAGCGTCAATAGCAGAAAGAATCTCGCGCACAGTAAAAGACGGTGCGTCGGGAGTGTACTTGACGCTGATGACGGGCTTCTCGGGCGTGGGCTCCGAAATGACTTTGACGCGCTTGAACGATCTCAGAGAGTGTGAAACCCGGGATGGGCAGTGTTGGCAGTAGAGGCCATGGATCGAGATTTGAACTGTTCGCTCTTGAGCGCCCTTGTTCTCGGACTTGACACTCTTCACGCTGTCCAGCGTGGCATCATAACCCATGTCCTCAATGGCGGTGACGATCTCGTCTTGCTTGCCCTCCACAGTGAAGTCGACGGTAGCGCTGTTGGTGACTAGGTTGACCGAAACTTTGGAAACCCAGTCGTTCTTGCTGAGTTGCTCGGTGATTGTATTGGCGCATGATGCACACGTCATTCCTCCGACGGCCACGGCTGCCCTCCACAGATTGGAACCCGACTCCTCCTGCCTGACTTCGGTGACATTGTCGAGATTGGCGTCGTATCCCATGTCTTCGATGGTCTCTGCAATCTTCTCAGCATCCGCCTTATCGGAAATGTCGACGGTTGCGCTGTTGGTGACCAAGTTGACGACGGCAGTGTCGATCCAGTCCTTCTTGTTGAGCTCCTCGGTGATGGCATTGCTACATGAGGCACAGGTCATCCCCCCAATAGAGAGGGTTGCTCTCCACTTGACGGGCGTCTCTGTTCCTGATCCTCGGCGTGTGTCGCTGCCGCTGGCACTGGCGTCGTCTGACGCGTATTCGTGTATGAGTGAGCGACATGAGCCGTGAGGGGTAGATTCCCCAGAGTCGCGACACTGTTTGCAGTTCAAGAGATGAGCCTCTCGCTGAGCCGGTGATTCAGCATCGGGCCACGCGGACGGCTCATTCAGTACGTCCAAGTCACTGCTGGTAGTAGCCGTCGTCGTCACACCACTGATCTCAAAGCCAGCTTCTTGCAGCGCCTTCGCCATACATCGGATAGTGACCTCGGGGGTTTCAGTGTGCCTGTGCTCAACGGTGACGACTGAGGTCACCACGTTGGGTGACACCCAGATCACGTCGCGACTGCATGACTCTTTGAGAGCCTGTTGGATCGAATACACACATGATGGACAGTGGAGGTTGGCGAGCAAGAACGAAGTGGTGATGCGGGGGTTCATCGTTGCTTATGTCGCCGTTCTTGGCGTCCGTCGTCGTCCTCTTCCTCTGTCTTCTTCTCTAGCAGCCTCGCCCCTGGTTGCTGTAATCCTGCTTGGTCGTTAGTTTGATTTTTTTTTTTGTTTTTGTATCCACGGTGGCCAAGGCGCGTACGCAAAGTCGACGATTCAGGATCTGATTTTTTTTGATTTTTTTTTCTCCAGTCACAGGCCCACAGGACAGCGATGAACGTTAAGCTTGTGCCAAAAACTCGTGTGTCGGAGACGGACAACGGCACTGGACGACAAGACCGGAGAAACCAGCGACGAAGGAAGGCGCGAAATAAGCTGCGGTGGCCTACTAGTCGATGCTGTGTGTGGATGTAGTTGTAATAGATCGACGACGCAGAGCGTAAAGTTCCAGGTTGTCAGTGGCCGAAAGGGTGTGGTCAAAGCCCGGAATCCCTTGCTTGCCAGCCGAGAAGTTGCGACGGAAGTCAGCAGCATCGAGCCAGAAAAGGCAGGACACCCATGGTTTTATTATTTCAGATAGAGCAAGGTGCCTTAAGTACGGCGATGCTGCTATCTGTCATTTCCCCCTTCCTGGCCCATTTGACTTTTCATTCCGCGGCAATTGTGCTGCTCTGCAATGTTGGCTGACCAGATTGCCCCTTGCCTTTTTTGGGTGCGCGTTTTGTGCCTTGCAGATTTTTGGCATTCGGCGACCGAAGTTGCCTCCTTCCGCACCGTCCAGGCACTGTACTGACGCTTGTCGCAGCACAGTGTTTGCACTGCTTTTTCCGCAGAAAAAGCGCAGATTGTGACGTAATTTGCTCACTATGGGTCCGTCCAGGTTTCATTTTGGTGCCTCAAGCGACGCGCTGATACGCCAAAGCAACGCGCTTGGGTCTGGAATCAACATGAACCTTCCGATTACAATTCACGGGCACCCGCTGTCAGAACCACCACGTTGGAGAGATCTGGAGTCATCTCGACTCATTGCCCACCCTCTTCGCACATCAATGGCCTGCCATTGGAGGTGGCAAATCCACTGGTGGCGTCTAGAGCGTCTGCCGCGTCTCCCCGCACTGCGCTAGCCGTTAGCTGCAGGATGACCCACGCCTCTCCTGCATTGCTAAGCGCAGTCTCGATTCCTATTGCCCCATTTGCAGACCCTTGGTTATCAGATCTTGTTGCCTCCTCCTCCTCGACCCTTGTCGCGTTCCTGTCGATCATTGAGGACCCGAATCCGATCCGATCAGAACCGTCTCTACTGACGAGAGCTGCAGAACGTTGGACTAGCCTATTTTTCGCTGCTTACTGACTAGAAAGGCCGACGCGAGTACTCGCATGGGGATTTCTCCCTCCATGTCACTCGATGCTGCGGAGGTGATGATGGTGATGATGCGCCACAGGGACAAGTAATTCTTTGCGGCATTCCAAAGATACTCGGCCACGGAAGGACCTCGACTTCATTTACGGACACTTGATTGAACGCCTCTGGAGATCCTGCACTTGGCTTTCCAGTATGTCCTACCAGCAGCCTACCAGTTGACAACTTTCACGACAGCAGGCGCCACGCGAGCTTCTCGAACGACGGCACGATACAACGAAGTTTCTGGAACGGAAGTTTCGGATATGCTGCTTTGTCAACGAGTGGGAGCGGCACAGCCTGTGCTGAGATCGGATCACTACCGCTTGGGCAATGTCAACGGTGTCAATTCTAAAGACACCCGCCTAAAGTCGACTCAGCCCGCGCACGCGAACGCAGCGACTCCCTCCCGCTTTCCTGTTTCGATGTCTGTTTCCTCTTTTCAGACGGATTCCACGTTGTTTGAAGCTTCGTCAGCTTCACGACGGACAGCCGGGTCAAGCTGGTTTCCCTAGCGTGTGCATCCGAAGTCGTGGCTGAGTCCTCATCGCCTGGCGACTAACACGGCGACATAACAGTGCCAGCTTGAGCCATCTTCCACATTGTTGTCGACTCCTTCCGAGGATGATCTAGTCGTGGGCATCGCAGGAGGGCTTGGCATCCTCTCGTTATCGGTGCTTACAGCATGGCCAGCCAGCCGGTCCTTTCCAGGCTGAGAAGCTCATAGCCTTCCGGGCTTCGCCAAGCCCGCCGGGCCGTATGATACCAATGGTCAGAAAGCGAGTCTGCCAACGCCAAGAAATCGATGCGCAAGGTGGTCTGCGGGCACGGGTTGAGGCTGAGTCGGCGCAGCAGGCTCTCAACGTTCGCATGGGTGCCAATGCTCCCCAGAAAATCATTCAGGCGTAACTCGCATCGCTTCAGACAGCACCCAGGGGCGACGAACTATTGGCCCAAGCCACACCAGTCAACCCAACCTACAGCAGACCACATCTTTGACACTTTCTCGATCTCGCACAGCCGGAGCACTCGGGTTCGCGTTGCGGGCCTGACTGGCTGACTGCCGGGCGAACAGACAGGGATGAAATCACTTGACCTTGGCTCTGAGCACTCTACCACGGCCTGTGTCCGCGGATTCGGGGGCGGGCTGACCTAATGCCTAAACCTGATGGTCTGATAGCTCACGGCAGCAGTGCAGCACCCCGCGACGTCGAATGCCACTGAGAGGCACGCGTTCCGTCGCCAGACCTGACACTGAGACTGTCGTGTCACTGTTGTTACTGGCAAATGGAACGCGACCGCAGCATCCGACCGTCACCCGCGACCTGACCCCGACCTTGTGACTCAACCTCCCAGCCCCCGTGCCGGCCGCGAGACCCACCCGGAACCCGACCGCCGGCCACAAGGCGCGCACCCTGCCATTCACGAACACGACCGCAACGTAAACACGCCATCGCACTTGCATGAATAACAACAACCCGATAATCGCGGAGAGGAGTTCCCAACATGCGCATCACGATCCGGCGTGGGGTCGGAGCCTAATTCCTGCTTCCTGCTGCCCGCCCCCAGCCACATCCTTCACGAACCACACGCCCGGCAGCAGCGCTCACACACACACACCCTCCCAACTGACCGACATTTCCAAAACGCAGTCACCAGCGCCCGCGATAGCAGCCTGAATGTATCCCAACCACAAGGATGCACCTTTGCGTGAATGCCACGGCGGAATCTCTTTTTTTTCCCCATCTGACGGTGTAGCCAATCCCCCCCTCAAACCCCGCCTTCGCTCGTTGGATCATGTCCCAGCACGCACGCTACGTGTACCGTTGCTGACAAGCTGATCCCCGCCATCAGCCATCTAACTTTTTTGCACGCCCGACACATCTAGACGTCACCTTTTTGGACCCCTAAAACCAGTCGGGCGTTCTGCATGCTGCATTCCGCAACTCTCTGCAATGCCCAAAACGCCATGCATCTCGATGTTACGAAACTCTGTTTCTCTCTCCTGGCCCTTTTAACGGTGAACGATGGAACGGCGAGTTACATATGCAGACACACCGTCTAGAGAAAACACGAAGACGAGCGAAAGTAAACCGAGATTTCCCCCTCTGTTGGTATTTCGACGTCACGATCCGCCCTTCCGGTCGATCGCGACAATCTCACCCCCATGAAATCTCCGGGGAAGCCCAAACAACCTCCTTCTTTCGGAGTTCACGAAGCGATTACTTTTGTAGAAAATGTCCGAGGTTCTCCGCAGCACACTACACACACACAAGAACTCCATGCAGACGAAGAAACATCGGGGAGGAACGCCCGGTTTTCGGGGAGCTGGACCTTTTACCTCGACAGAGTGGAGGGGAGCTAGGAGACGCCGCCAGCTTAGCTGCATCCAAACGTCAATGTGTCCCTGTAAAATCCAAGCGTCTGGGCACACACAAGCGTCCCCATTCCACCTTTCGCAAAACCCAACTTGCCCGTTTTCTCTGTTGCGGATTCCGGATGGCTGGATCTTCCTCAACGGACGGATGCAAGCCCAATCTTGCAAGGTAGACAGGAATGTCTCTGATCCGGCCGTAACGGGGAGCGCCCAAGGTGCGTGAGAGAGACAACTCTAGCCGGTTTATGCGCCGCCTCCCAAGTCATTGCCCATCACCACCACCACTCGCCCAGCGGGAAGTAACAAGATGCATCAAACTTTTGTAAACTCCAATCCCCTCCCGCCTTGATTCATTCCGCGTGTGCTGTGTGCACCCTGGTCGGGCTATGATGTTATAAGGTTGTAAGAACCCGGCGAACCCGACTCATGTCCTGTCCCCGAGCAAGATGCGAATCATGACTTGGAGGCGATAAACTCTGGAGGTAGTCATGGGCATCTTTTTTTTGTTTTACGATAACGAGAACCAATCAAGTGGTTTTGACCCCTCCAATACCGCCATCGCATATCGTCATCAGCCAACCAGACGAAAAACAAGCTGCATTACAAATTTTCTGCACATGGGATAAATACATAGCGAAAAATGAAATGAAATAAACAAGATCACGAGGTTTTTGATTCTTTCCTAGCTTGACCCAGAATGAATGACCCCTCCCCGTCGACCCCGGCTGCAGATGACTGGATGTTCCCGCTGCCCGGGGCACACTGCAAAGGCCGCAGTCGTCCCCAAATGTCTCGCATGTGAAGCTGAATGCGAACCGCGCTGCGCGCTCCGCTACAGTGTCCTCTCTCCCCCACTACGAGATTGGGAAAAATAAAGACACTTACCCCGACCGCCTGCATCCAAAGTCACGAGGTGCACTAGAGCCAACCGTTCTAGACCCCGATGCAAGCGGGGGGTCCAACGCGGGACGGGAGGAGCCAGGTGCCGTTCACGAAGAACGAAGACATCAAGTCACAGTGTGTGTGCGCGAGCGGAAGGAGACAAGTAAAAGTTGTTTGGAAACGGGCACCAGTGTGGTTGGTGCCCGCGCTTTGAATTTCCGGCACGTCTTCTTCTGGGAAGAGTGTGCTGCTCATTTGGAGCTCTGACTGATATGATACTGCTGAACCGGTTCTAACAGTTCTTCCCAAGATCCCAACAGGGGCCAAACCTCTACCATGCGAGGATGCCAAAGAACCCAACCGACAAGAAAGAAAAAAGTGATAATCATGTTCATGAAATCCGCCCCAAACACCACTCCATATATGCAAATGCCCCGAGGATTGCCGTGTCCTCATAATCCGTGTTCCATGTACCAGTCGTCCCATTACCAACGCCCTCGGGTAAGATAAACAAGTCTGTCCTTCCGTGCTCTCTCTATAAAGCAATCCAACACCATGCTTTTTGGGGGGTGACTCCAAACATAGGAAAATGTGAGAGGTGAGAAAAAGTTGTTGAGGCTGTGACAAAAGGAAAAGAATCTGTGCGATGCAGCAGACTACCGCACTGTCACGGCGCCACCGAAGACGCGGCCCCACATGCCACGTCCCATGCGTGCCCTCTTCGCCTTGGTGCCGTCTTGCATGTCGCGCAGCTCCTCAGTGCTGATCTCGTACGGGAGGAGAGGCTTGCGCTTCGGCAGTGTTGATGCGGGCTGCTCGATGTGCACTTCCACGGGAGACTCGTACAAGCTGCCGTTGGGCACGTACATGTAAGGCTCCTCGGCGGGGTTGTCGAGCGGGGTGGTGGCGCGGGACTGAGACCGGCTAGATGCGACAGAAGGAGCGTAAGAGCTGATGGAGCTGCCATAACTGCTGCTGTAGCAAAGACCAGGTGGTGTAATGGAGGCGCCGCTGTATGAGCGAGCGTGGTCGGGGGTCTCCTGTCGCGAGCGAGAGCTGGCGCGCGAGGATGGCGGGCTGGGGTAGGACTGCATGGCGATGAGCTCCTCCTGTCTCTTGCGCATCTCCTCCTCCTGCTTGCGGCGGCGGGCAATGCGACGAGCGTGCTTAGCCTCGATTTCAGCGCGGATAGGCGCCAGGAAGGGGTCGAGCTCGCGGTAGAGGTCCTCCTCGCTGATCCTCAGGTCCCAATCCAGGAGGAAGAGAAGCTGCTTCTCCATCAGGTTAACCTCTGTCCTGCTGAAGCCAAAGTTGGACAGGTCGTTGTTGACGTGGCTGTAGGTGGCCCAGTGCTTGTTCTTGGGTGAGCTATCGTTGAGGTACTTGGCAGTGAGGATGAGGGCGGCAAGGAAGATGCGGTGGGTGGTGCATCGCAGACCGCGGGCCATGGGCTGCAGGCGGGACTTGAGTCTAGTGAGGTAGACCAGGGTAGACATGAGTGTCGGAACCTGGACGTTGGAAGAGACAACAAGCTGGGTGATGAAGGCCTCGAGGGTGGGGAGGTCGGCGTCTTCGGTGCGGACAGCGCGGGGCTCGGGTGTCCTTGGCGGTGTCGGGGGAAGCTGTTGTTGACGGTAGGCCTCGGCGGAAGCGGGAGGCATGAGGGCGCTGTCGCAGGAGATGACATTGAAGGCGGCGCCGGCCAGGTAGGAAATCATCGACTTGCTGACGGGTTGGTAGACGAAGTGGTCGAGGGCGGCGGCGTTGAGCTCAGCCGGGGTGAGGTGTGACCTTGACTCCATTGTGACTGTGTGTGTATGTGTGTGTATGGGGTATGAGAGGTGGTCGAGGTGGTTGGTGATGATGCTGGAGTCGTGTGTGGTGTATTGATAGTCGCAGGGGTCCTTTTGTGAAGGAAGCGTCCCTTTTGTGCTGTCGATGTTGTCGTGAAGAGTGACGAAATAAGGGAAAGCAGGAGAAGTGAGGAAGGGCAGGCTGGGCTGATATATTAGACGAAAAGGAGGGTACGGGTGTGGTGTGCGGCGAAGTTCATGTGCCTCGTCGCAAGTGACGGGGCCAGGCTCTGGGGATGGTCCTGGGAACTGAGGGATGCGGGCAGCTCGTCGTCACCCACTGACGTGCGGTCCACGAGGCTGAGTGGGCGGGTTGTCAGGGGGGTACTAGTCAGTGCTAGCGGTAGTAGGGGGTTAGTTTTTTAGGGGGTCTCAGCAGGACGCCGACGGAAGTGCCTGCTGGGGCTTGGATGCTTGGGGTGGGCTGGAATGCTGTAGATCCCAGGGGTGCAGGGGTGTGGGAGGCGTGCAAGGGGTGGGAGGGCGTGCTTGGGTCGGGTCGGCAGGGGGTGGTTGGTTTTTTTAGTCGGAGTGCAAGAGATGGCCGCTGGGGGCGTGGTGATAAAGTCCGAGAAAAGCGAAGTCGCAGGGGGCGGGCTGGCCGGCCGGGGTCTGGATTTCGCGGGATGCAGCGTCGGTGCGGGTGCAGCAAGCAACTGGACCTGCTGGAGTTGCAGATGTAGCACTGTATTTAACCTCGACAGGTGGAGTGTGGCGCAACACTCTCAACACTCCGAGTCCAGGTAAATCTCCAGATTAACTCGATATTATGGCTGTGACGAACTGGTCACGAACTCTGGTCGAATGCCACTCTTGGCGGCAAGTCGGACGTTGAGCGCTTTCTGCGTCGCGGAACACGACAATGTTTCGGCAGTGAGGCAGAGGATCTCGAGAGACCTAGCAAGAGGCAGGCTGTTGTGCTGCTGTATTGTTGGCGGTGTAATGAATGCTACTGCGGGTCGTTCGGCGACGACGGCGAACAAGTGGCGATTTCTTTCTGGGAATAGAAAAATCGCGAAAGTAGCGAGGATAGCGGACGCCAACGACGATGGCAGCGTGGAGGTGCTGGAAGCAGTGGACGAGGGTCGGGTGCGATTGTTGCGACTGACGACAATGGCAGCCAAGGGCGAGAGAGAAAGTCCCGAAGTTCTGGAAAATGCCCGGTGCTCTATGACGAATGGAGGATAGGCGCTCGATTCTTCTGAACGTCTGCAAACGGATGAGATATCCGAGTCACGCCCGTCGGTGCTTGGAGAGGTTTGCGGGTGAGGAGTTGAAGGCGTCAAGTAAAACGACGGGGCGAGTCAGGGGGACGGCGGTTTGGGTTTGGGTTTTGGAGAAAGAGCCACGGCCGCGATGTGATGAAATTATGGACGTCTAGGACAGATTGAGCCGTCCAGGTGTGATTTTGAGTTGGGTTGGATTGATTGATTGACGCTTGGATCGTGCAGCCGCGACGGAATGGCGGATGGCAGACGGGTGTCAAGGTGTGTGAGTTTGACGGCGGCAGAGCGGTAGAGCGGAACCGGTGCGATGCGAAGATCCCAGCGACTCGCGAGTACAGTGCAGTACGGCCAAAGTCACAGATGGTCAATTAGAGGGAGTAGTCCAAAACTTCCGAGCCGGCGGAGAGGAGGGCGTTGGACGAGTGTCGATTGTTGATTAATTGTTCTCGGGGCCGCGGGGCGGACGTCGTGTAAGCCAGCAGCAGATTGAAGACGCTGTGCCGACTGTAGTGCCCTGGTAAGGTGGTGAGGTAAGGTAGGCTTTGTTCGGCCGGGATCCGAAGACCGGAAACGTGAAGCAGGTTGAAGACGGGGAAATGATTGTCTGTCTCGATTCGGACGTCGCGAGCGAGCGTGAATGGTTTGTCCGGCCGAGCTGTGTCGCCGGTAGATGGGGTTTGAATGAAGGACTGGCGATATTGTTGGATTTTCCGTAGCTTGGCGGGGTGAACCTTGGCCGAGTCTTTCTCGATGCGACGGGGATAGAGTCAACAGCTGGGGAGAATGACGCAGGACGTGATGCGGTATCGCTAAGGTTCAGCAACGTCCAGGTTGGCCGCAATGTGAACCGTGAGGGCAGGGCGTTGGTTATGCGCTTTTCCGAAGTGAAGCCACCTTTTCCCTGGCTGACTGCGGAACTGTTGCACCTGGTGGTGGGTTGTTGGTAGCGGAGGTGCACCGCGGTCGGCACCTGGTAGAGTGAGGAGGTGAGGTGGGGTGTACGGGGTACGGCGACTTCAGACCAAAAATGCCCGGCGGACAGGGTATCCGGTACTTGGCACACGGTCACTGCAGACACGCAAGAGTCTGGGCAGTTGGGCGCTGAGGCGGTGCAGCTGCTTTCTGCGAATGGAGTGCCGAAAGCAGGGGTCCTCCAGGTTGGAAGCGACTCTGACTGGTTGTCAACGGAACACGCTTTCTGTTGGTCGACGGTCGAGGCTCTCGGGCAGAATCGAAGGCGGAACGGAACACGAGGTAGGGTGTCAATCGAGATGCGGGTTGCAAGATGGATGCAGATGAGCACCAAAAGAAAGCCTAAGCAATGCCGGTGGTGGTGATCGAAGTTGATAGATCAGACGGGTGTCTGCCTTTTAATCCAGAAAGCTCGCGAGGGGCGGAGTGAATGCGATGCAAATCTGACAAACGTCGGTTTTCTCCAGGGCGGTGACGATGATGATGCGGATCCAATAGATGCAAGAACTTGTTCCAGTTCTCGGGTCAAGAGGAAGCCTTGGCGGACTCGGGTCGAATTCGAGGTCAAAGGTTGACGGAGCTCAAGGTGCAGCTGCAATGGTGCAAGTGGGTGTGGGGCGGGATATCGCAGTTGGTGTCCAGCAACAGCAACGAAAGGGTGTCGAATGTCCACTAGTGCAGACGTGAATTATCCAGGGCAAAAGATTGAACAATAGAGCCGAGTCTAGAAAAAACAAGGGTTGAATAGATTCGATTTCGTATTAGCAGACCGGCTGTGGTTGTTATTGTTGTTGTTGTCGATGTTGATGTCTCGGTGTCAATGTCGTCTCCCTGCTCACGATAGGCGAAGGAAAGCCGGGTGTCGTATTCAATACAACAACCCTCGAATGCCGGTGATGATGCAAATGATTTGAGATGGAGGAGAGAATCAAGGTCCTGGCAAGAGACAGGATTCAGATTTCCCAGGGCTCGAGAGGGAGGAGGACACAGGGATGAAATATACGACAAGAGGCGCCGAGGGTAAGGGATGGATTGGACGGCTCCTGTGGGTGAGATCGATATATTTACTTTTGCAAGCCCAAGCAAGACCCGGCCCAGGACCACGGCCAGGCCAAGGCCGAATCAACAACACGGTCATTTCACTACCATGGCCATCATCTGCAGCTGCAGCTAGATCAACTACAGAGACAGGTTTCCGTGCGGACAGGACGGAGACAAGCGCGGCTCCAAGCTGCATCTGCGTCTGTAATTACCTTACAGAGCACCCTACGTCAACCCAAACCTCACTCAGTGTCTCACGACGGCCGTTGACTGGCCATCGCCGCTCCGTTGGGCTCCGTCATCCCCGTAGCCTCTCGTGCCGCTGCACGCCAGAGCCGGCTGATGGACGCTCAGCCAGTGGTTGCAGAAACACAGAGACACGATCCCACAAGCAAGGGTCCATGTCTGCCAAAACAAGCCCGCTGGAGCTTTTCGTCCACGGCATCCAAGCGAAGCGAGCGACAATCCTCACTGAGCGACACGACCACGACTACTACGACTTGCAGCCGAGAAGAAAAGCGCATCCACGCGGGCAGGCCCCACCCCCCAGCCATTCCTTCCTCTGCTGTCTGCTGAAAGTGTCGCTGCCATCGTTGCTTCTTGCAATCTGACTGGCCAACGCCGCTACACACACCTTACCTTAGGTCCGCAGGCGGTACGTACCGCTTCGGCCGAGCACCTTATTCGCTCTCCCTTGCCCCTCTCTCGCCTCTCGTGTTTCTCGGTGGAAACGGCGCGGTGCAACAACGTCCAATGGCAGCCGCTGGACACCACCAAGGAAGGCGACGATGGAGTCAGCAACCGCCAGCTCAGCACCAAAAAAGCATCCAGCAACCCCGGCGCAATGCAGACATGGATCGATGGAGAGCTACACTGCTCCCATGCTACGCACGTCAGCTTGTCTTGCCGTCCTGTCTTGTCGCTGTCAGGGGCCCTCGGACACGACTGTTGCGCGCGGCTCATTGGTGGCCGCGTCCTACGTCGAACAGACAGATGAAACAAGCGATGGGCTTCTTTCTCGAGCCCTCGCTGCCAATCGATTCGCGGCCAAGCAAGAGGGAACCCTTCCACCCAAGATCCCGCCAAACTCACTCCAAGTCAACACAACACACCCGCGTCGTTGGCGACTGGAAATTGTGACGGTCCAATGGGCGTTTCCCGCTGCTATTCTTGTTTTCGCCTCCTTTGATGAACATGGATGAAACAGCAACAAGGCCTGCCTTTGCCTTGTCGCAGAGCAGGGAAGCGACGGCACCAGCCCGCCCGGGTCTGGCACCACGCCGCGTGGTTACCTGTCACGCCTGTCCAACTGCTGGAGGAGCCGATGAAACTACCACCACAACGACACAACGGGACCACCACCAAGAGGGACAACTGCCAGGCCCGCGTCGCGACCATCCTGAGCTGACCTGACGCCGATACGCCGCCGTCTTTCTTCCGCCGTCTGCACCCCTCCGTGGATCATCTTATTTCGAGCCCGTCTAGGTCTCCATCGTGCTACTGCTGCTGCTACTGCGCGTTGCTGGCGCCGGTGCTGGTGCTGGTGCAGACTCAGGGTCTGGGTCTGGCTATCGCTCGCCTCTCGGCCGCTGGCTGCCACCGCTGGCTACTGGGCTGCTTCCCAGGCCTGGCTGTGCTGCCATCGTGTGTTTCTCGAGACGCCTCTGCTATCCGTCCGCCTGCTCTTCACCCGTAATCTATCGTCGCCGC